TAGGCTTGCCTTCGGGTTTGGGACTTTGGTCCCTGAAGCTGCATGGAGGCGGCGAGGGGAGGAACGGCCTCACGAGGGGGAAAATGCAGCCCAAAAGTAAATATATGTGAGTCCTGCGGTCTCTGCTGTCTTCCTGGTAAGCCTCGGTGTGCGGGGCAAGACCTCTGAAGGCGGGATGGTAAAACTGGGTGCCCTCTTCCTGCCATCTAGCACTTTTACTAGTCAAGCCCCTGCGCTGATGCTGAGGGAAATTATTATGTATTTCCCCCCCCCGACCCTCGCCAAACCTGCCTTTCCCACAGCTTGTCACGTTACTTTTTGCCTGTGCTCTGCATATCCTAGGCCGCACTCGTGAATGGGAAATGACTGTGTGTCTGAACAATTCCAATGGCCTCAGGATTAAAAAGCTGGGGGGCAAAACTGATTACCAAGTGGAAAATGAGGTGACTGGGGGTGGGGAGTTGATTAGTAGTACAGGTTTTCCACACTGAGTTTTGACCGTCGCCTGTACTGCTGACCTTCTTGGTGTTGATGCGGTGACATGGAAGGAAATCACTCTCCCTTCATGTGATACGTTTATCCTATTTCTACAGATTCCTTTTGTAGTAAGATGGTAGCTGAAAGTTAGACCGGTATTCAGCTCCAGTGTTCAGGCAGGGTCTGGTGCATTTTACTGGCAGGGGCTAAGAACTGCACTCCTGTGCTGAGTGAATCCTCTGTAATAGCCTGAGTAAACCGATTGCTGAGCTGAGGCGGCACTCACATTTGAAATATGGAAATACTGTTTCACTTGTTTGCACTGAATGAAAAAAGCTGCAAACGCTTTACTTGCATTTATATCTGCACCTGAAAGTCTTCATGCTGATTTATAGCTTTTTATTCTCAGAAGGCTTTTCAGGTGGAAATATACAAAGTCTCTCAAGTGTTTTGAATTCTAGTCTGGATCCACCAAGATCTGGGACATCAGCTGATTCTGGTCTAAAACAAACAAAAAAAACCCGTGATGTTCTGGTATAAATTTTAGGTTAATCAGAATTACAACTGAACATGGACATTCCAAGCAAATTTATGCATATTGATTTTGGATATAGCATTTAGCTCCAGAACTGTCTCTGATGTAAAATCAAAACTTACAGATGTAGCGAAAACTAGAAGTCTCATGTCTGCATTTAGCAGCTGGTTCTGCCATTTCCACACCCCCCCCAGTAGTAAGGACTTTGCAGCTCCCGTTGTCTTCACTGGAAGTTGTTTGATACTTAACACTGAAAATCAAGCTACTCTTTAAGAAGCATCAGTATGCATTTAAGAATGAAGTTTTGAAAATCTCTGCATCTTTGAACAAAGTGGCTGCCTCCCGTTTTCCAAGTTCCTAAAGTAAGAATACTGCATCTGAAAGTATCTGATTCCCAATTTCTTCATAGGCCAGAGGGGAAAAAAGAACCAGTTTTATATAACCATATAAATTCTTTTTCTGATATGAAAAGGACCAATATCTGGAGGAGAGGAGGAATCAAAGAACTTAGTGGATTAAGATGACTAAGAATTACAAAAAAAGCATGGGAAATGGCAGGTCCAGTAGCAAGGATTTAAAGTCAGTCTGTTAAGATAAAGTTGATATTGTAATTCATAAAGTACAGGTGAACTGCTTATGTTCAGGAGAATGGGGGAGAAGGAATGATGCATTTAACAATAAATGAGAATTTGGAATAAATTTAAAGCTATAAGTAAAGTTGTAATTTAGGGGTAAATGTGAGACATTGTGATACAATATTTTTCCCTGAAAAAGGATAAGATTTTTGCTAGGGAGAGGAAAAGCCATAATTCTAGACTCTGGCCTTCAGAAATCATTTGATATGGTGACACATGGGGAAGTTATTAGCTTAATTGGAGGAGATGGGGATTAATAGGATAATGATAAGATAGACAAAAAAATGACAAAAGAGAATGTGACAACACTGTGCTGAAGGCGGGGGGAGGGCAGCAGCGGTGTCGGCTGTTAGAAGGTAGGTATTTTACTGGAAGAGTTGACTGACGCAGGGGATTAGTAAGGATTGGATAAAATCTAATGATACAAAGTAAAATTGCACATTAGAAGTAGTAATGAAGTGGGCACAAAACCTGGGAGAGCATTATTTAGTAACAGCAGAGGAGGAAAAGATCTGGATATACTAATCAATCACAGGGTAACTATGGGCCTGTTAAATTTTGCAATGGCTGGTAGTGCAGAGATTCTTCATCTTGTGGAGATCTGGCACAGACCTGTGTTTTATTAATCTCTTCCAGTATCATTGTAATAATGGGCCCTCTCCACTTCCATGTCTGGCATTTGCAAAAGCAAAGCCAGCTGAGATTCCTCTGCTCCGGTTGTGTTGGCTTGTCTGTGAATGTTGACCATCAGTGTAATGTGGCTGTAAAAAAAGGGAAATGCAATCAGGTGAGGTGTTCCCTAGGAGAGTGGAAAGTACTAAATGCCTTTACACAAGGCTTAGGTGGGGCTGCATGCTGCCCTTCTGATGCAGTTGTGGTCACCCATGTCTATAAAGGGGAGCGAGAAAGATAAATTGCAACTCTCTTACATGATATGCACTGAAGCTGGAACAGGTGCAGAGGGAGAGCGGTGAGCTTTTCTTGTGACACTGAAAGAGCCCCTTATCTCTAAACCTTGCAAAATGAGGTCTTTAAGGAGAAGCTTCTGATATCTATAAATATACCAAGGGGTAAATATGAGGGAGAGGAAAAACTAGCTAAGATGAAGGGCAACAATCTACAAGAATGAACAGATACAAGCTGGTTAGGATTATATTTATGCTGGTAATTAGAAGGCAGCTCATTAGATGGGTGAGGTTCTAGAACAACAGGAATAGTGGGAGCAAAACTGCCTGCACAGTTCTAGGGAAGGGCTGTGTTCATTTATTAAAGGGATTATATGATGCAGTTGTCTATTGTGAGAAGGAACAAGACTTAATGATTCAGGACATCTATCCCAGTCTTAGACTTCCTACTCAGAATGGGGTATTTTAGTTCAAGCAGAAGTTATGGACCATCTGAGGAAATTACTTTTGCTCTGACATAACCTGTGTGGTACATCAGATTTATTTTACTTTGTGCCGTTAGAGCTTCCTCTTTGGACTTAAACTCTATGAATAAAGACTAAAATCTCTTTATACCTCTATGAAAGAGAACAGATTTTAATTTGAGAGCTGAGTTATGTCCAGAACAGAGTTAGCTGTAAACAAACTTACAGTGTTGTAGGATCCTTCCAAGACTTAGTGCACCCTTTTGGCTTAAGAAGGACTGATAGCACTACCTGAGAGGGAAACCCTACAACATTATGAAGTCTGCCAAAGGTAACCTGGTTAAATGCCTGGCAAGGAGCTAGGGCTAGAGATTAGATCGATGTGCTGGACTGGGCTGTGGAAAAGGATGGCCTCTGTATTTCTGTAGGTGTTCTGCTCATAGAATACTGGCCTTCCTTGCTATCACAGAGTGTTTTTGATGGTGCAGTACTAGGCATAAGCGTGCCTTTTCCTTGTTTTACTTAAACCTACCTTCTGACCTGGAATAGTATTTCACAAATCATTGGAAATGCAGGCAACTTGCTGCCTGGAAAACTTTCTATTGCTGAACAAAGTGATCTGTCTATAAAATAACTCACAGGTAATGTTTGTAGCCAAAGGGTATAAAAGAAGTCTTCCTTAACTCAGAACAGCACGAACATAGCTGGATAGAGTGGCTTGCTGTGTTATGTCTACTTACACTGTTATCTGTACTTAGGGTAACTTGAATCTCAGGTCTCTTATGTGCAAAATATGAGCCACATGTCCTGGCAAGTGGGTACAACTAGAGGGACATCTGAAGTTTTCCCACCCTGCAAAGGCAGATGTAAAGGCAATGAGGCAGTGCGACTTCATTGGTCTCTCCCGAGTCTTTGTCCGTTACTTTGGTCTCAGTTAAGGAAAGCATTTAGTTTGCCTGTGAGCAGGTGAGAACTTCCTTTAATAAGTATGGATTTCAGTGTTTTGATGAAGCTGATGAACTGATAACTCTTCTGGCTTTGTAAACATTTGTTACTGTAGGGTAATACAGCTGGCTCCTGGCCTGCACACACTGAGTTGATATAATAAACCTTTTTGTGAGTGTTCACAAATGCCTGAATTTGATTGAGGATGCTTATTACCTACGTTTTACGTATCTTTTACAATGAGCACAAAGTATGAAATGTCTAAACAGTTACTGAGTCAGAAAGTAAAACAACAGCTTTTTCCACTTTGTGGAGTTGTGTATATCTCTTGATGTCTACAGAGACTTCAGTAGACCTGTAGGTTTTTGTCTTCAGCCTCAGTTTATTCCTGGCTGGGATCTCTTTGTGTTTTAACAGAGCAATTGTTTAGATACTGTGGTACAGCTACTCTTCCAGTCTTATGGACTGGCTGTATCAAGTAGTCAGGGATTGAGAACACTGTTGCTTCATAAATCATATCCTCTTAACACAGTCTGTATGAGATAAGGCACTGGTGCCCCAAGTTAATAAGGGTGTGTGACCTGAGTTATGTTTAAGAGGTTTTAGTGACTTGAGAATTTACAGCTATACTGGTACAAAGGAGGCAGGAGTAAAAATACTCCTAGTCTATAGGTAGATGCTGAGCAAGGCTGTAAGGATGCCAGTAAGGCTGTGGAATATACAGTACGATGCATTAGTAAATTATTTACTCACTCTAAAGGTAAAAGTTTATTTAAATATTTATCTGTTATCCATTAAAAGAGTGACCTCTGACAGAGGCCAATATCAGTAACTTGGGGTAGTAACATTTCATCATCTTCTTGTGGAAGAAATGGCCCTTCTTACCAGTCCTGTAAGATGGACCAAGGAAGTCTAGGCACAAGGGGTGAAAAGTTTGCCCATCTGAAATACTTTTTCTTTTTTTTTCCTTCTTCCTTTCTCTTCTGTAGGAATTTTAGAGCATCTCAGATGACATCCCAAATGGATGATTAACTTCACAATGGCAGAGCTCACAGTGGAGAATGGCAGCTGTATGGACTGGCAAAAGCGATGCCTTGCACTGGAGTCCCAGCTCTTCAAATTCCGCTTGCAGGCAAGCAAGATCCGAGAGCTGTTAGCTGAGAAGGTGAGACAGTGGTGGCTTCTTCTTTGCACTGAATTATGGCATGGAAGCAAAAAAAAAATAATCCATAAATGCTGAGGTATCCAATTGAACTTAATTTCAGTAAGGATCTCTTCCTTGATTACAGTATGTCATTGTGCTCTGCTTATCACTTGAGATACAGAGATGTGCCTGTCAGAGTGGTGAAAAGTAGCATTAGTGAAAATAACTTTGCTGCATTTACTGGGAAATCACCAGGTATTCAAACTACTGGAAAACACTATACCAGCAAGATTCTGGATATCTGAAGTGACAGGCAGCTGCAGAGCAAAGATGGATATTTTGGATAAGAACAGCAGGATCAGGACTTGGCTGACAATAGAAGAGCTTACAGGAGTGCAAATTATGCTGTGATGTTAAAAGACTGGACAGGGGTACATGTATTGCCATAGTGTTAGAATAACATTGCATATCCAGTCGAAATATTCTGAGGTTACTGAAGAGCAGGACTGAGATACTTTGAGATCTGAATATTAGAAACTTGCATGGCATCTGTAGTTTTAGAGGCATCTCCTACTAATCTTTCAAGTGCACTAAGTGAACTTGTTTGCAGTCCTAGGGGAGAGGACTGGCAAAGATTTGAGGGTTTTGTTGTTGGGATTTTTTTTGTTTCCATCATGGTATGAATTTTTCTTTAATTCAAATTGAAAAATAACTCAATTTAAAGCTTTTTCACTAACCTCTAATTGGCGTAAAATCCAAGTTTATAGGCTGCTGTGGGGTTCCTTCTTTGTTTCAAAATGTGGCTTACATTATCACAGTCCAATCCAAGATTGCTCAGATATACAATTACTATTGGAAAGTGAGAACAGTTTCTTTCAGTCATAGTTTGCTAATAAAGTTGGGATCTTTACAACTGACTGCAGTTTACTCCAAATGCTTTTAAGCTGTACCTGATGACACATATGTTCTACACTCACCTTTGTTCCATTTTGTATTATGTAACTTTTATGTGTATATTCCTGTTTGTTGGCTTTGGATGTAAAAACACCCAAATGAAATCCACTTCAGAGTAGAGCAATTTTCATCCTTGCTTTCACTGTAATTACATTTCCACTAATGCCGTATACTGCATGAGACATTCACTCCACCACTCATATTTGAAGAAATTATGCAATTCTAAGCACCCTCACCATCCATTCTGAGATGGACCTTAGCAATTACCTACCTTGGAAAACATTGGAAGTGGTAAAGTCCATTTAGATAAAGCCACATTAAAAAAAGAAAATCATATATAGATGTGGTGCAGGTCTGGTAAAGACAACCAGTACTTGTGTGCAATACTCTATGTTTGCTGGGATGGATGGATGGAATCTGTGGCCTCATGCTTTATTAATTTCTGCCTTGAGAAACTTCCTGACTACCCCCATGCAGGACAAAAACTCACCTATCAAACTTTCTTTTCAGAGAATAGACTTGCCAGAGATCTTTTTGACTATCTCTTCAGGGAGGTTTGTGGGCCATGGCAGAGAATGAAATTTTCATATGCTTCAGGGGACTCCTCAAGGAAGGGGCCTGGCTGGCATTAATCCAGCCTTTCAGTCCAAGCGATGTTCCCTTTGTTAAGATTAAGGAGCAGCTTGGTTCAGTGATCAGGTTACTCTGTAACTACTTGCACAGCGCTGTCGTTGGGTTACTCGAAGGGTCCGAGAGCTAGCAGGTTTGCAGTTCCTGACTCTCAATGTCAGGTGAAAAGGGGAGAGCCTCAAGGGCAGTGGGGCAGCTCGGCAGGCTCTTCTGATGCCGCTGGACTCAAGGCACCAGAGCAGGTGCTCAGCACGCAATGCTTGTGCTGAACACTGCTGTTGGGAAGTGTCCTGTGCTTCAGCTTCCTGACTGCTCTGCAACAACTTACTTGGAGACCCTCCTTCCCCCCCTCCTCAGTCACCATGGGGCTCCCCAGCACTCACAGCAACTGGGCCTCCTGTCCACACTGCATCCTTCCCCAACTTCAGATGGGCAGTGATGCAGAACCAAAGGAGGCACATGCTTTAGGCATAGTGATGCCAGCTCCAGGGATTTTTATCATAGACTTTATAGCAACTGTGATTTTTTAAATTTTTTTTTTCTTACAGTTCTGTTTGTGAGAATGATGAGATTCAGACTTATTTGAAAGAGTACTGCATTTTCAAAAAGGTTTTGGAGCAGGGGCAGGGGAGAGGATCTTGAAAAATGTGAAGTGGTCGCAGTTTGAAGCTGTATTGCCAACCTGTGATGAACATTGCCCTGAGATCCTCTGATATGGTTTGCAGCAACAAGAAAATGGAGGGGGGAAAAAAACACTGATCTTCACTTCCACTTTTTAACAGTGGTGTGATGCTTGCTCACCAGCTAGGTTGTCTCAAGGGTCTGGAAGCTACTGATTGAAAGACTTGGAAACCTGATCTCCCACATTTTAAATCAGTCTTTATAACCAATTTTATGATTTTAAGGCAGATTTTACTATTTTTAACTCACAACCCCCACCACCACTTATGCTTGGCTTTGGTAGTACAATATGCGCTAACAGTTTAAATACTTCAGATTTTTGAAATCCGCTTAGATTGAATAATCTAGATCACTGTTCAGAACATGAGGAATTTAAAACCCAATGGTTTAACTGCCAGTGCCCTCGTTCACATGGTGTGAACTTCCACATTGGTAGCCCAGTCTCAGCTCTCCAGCAGTGCTGCCCAAGCTGTGCGGAACCTGGCTGCAGGTTGGTGCAGCAGAGGGACCCCACTCCCTGGCCTCCAAGACAAAGCTCTGCCATCTTGCTGGACACCCACAGGGTGTGAGACCCCTGGGTCTTGCCTTGTTGTGGACACCAGCAGGGATCTGGTCTCTTTGGAAACAGGCAGTTGTTTCCATGCTGACTTTTTTTATACACACACAAAGAAAGGGATACTCCTCTGTTGGTGAGCGACATAGCAGGCTGTTGCCTTGGCAGCAAGTTGACCTGGTTAGGAGTGAGCTCTGGAAGAGAGAAAAATGAGGAAAATGAAGCTGAGACATGCAGGAACTTTTTTCATTTTATTTAGCATATTCTAAGCCATCAGGAGAGGGAAAGCCTGTGTGAAAGGTTGGTAAGAGGATCTTTTGCAGCTTTTAGAAGGGCCACCTGGGTAGCTTTTAACCTGCTTCTGTCTGTCTTTGATAAACAATGAATATTTGGAAAAAGCCTTTTGTCTCATGCAGGCCTGGCTATATAACTAGTCCTGTTTCTTTCCATACAAGCTGTCTGGGCTAATGTTTGGGAGAAGAGTTACTTGAAGTTTTTTATGTGACCTGGGTCAAGTTGCGTTTGTCAAATTATAAAGCGTTTTCAATAAAAGGACCCATGTAAATACCGAGCATTATTATTAATTCATTGAGGGATTGGAAACAGCCTTACAAGTATGGATGTATTAAATCTGAATGTGCTCCAGTGACACAAACAAACTGACACTGGGGATGGGTGAAGTAATCGTTTTGTGTACATGAGAAACACAGCGGTTATTTAGCAGTTCGTTGTAGGACAACCCAACAATGTAGTACAGGAAGAAAAGTAAAAGTTCATTTAAGGCTCCGGAGGGAATTAGGGTGGCAAAAGTAATTGATTTGACTGGAACTTAGCCACGTCACTGTGCTTGCACAAGAAGTTTCATAACTCTTTAGTGATGAGGAATGATCCCAACATACATTTTCTGTCCTGATCAGGATCCAGGACTGCTAGCAGTGCAAAGCAAACTGTCATGAGGCTGGGACAACAAGGAGTTTTTTAGTCAGAACAGTGCTGTCTTCTTAAAGTAACCTGAGTCTTTTGTGGATATCGCCCACCTTGTGGAGGATTGAATTATTAGTCTAAGAGGATAGCCTTTTGGAAAAGGCCCAGAGATTCATCTAATGTCTGTGCTGTGAGTGTAAACCATGTCAATTCATCAGAAAACAAGCAGAGGCCATTGACTCTGAAGTTACTGTCATAAACAGTCTTTGTTTCACAGGGTGTATTATGTCTCCAGTTAGCATCTGCCTTTCACCGACAGATTTTGCTGCTATCTGTCTGTGGTGATAACTATCAAGAGACTACTAGATAAATGCATGGATAGATCACTGTTCCTGATGGACGCACTCATGTTGTAACCCAGACTACCGCTGTCGGTGTTAGGTTGCCTTGAGCTCAGTCTCTACCAAGACTCTTGGAGACTGGGTCTTTGGTCGGAGCAGCTTTGGTTGTCTGTGCAATCTTCTGTGGCACCTCTGCCAAAGAAATGTCCTTGATTTGGATTTTAAGCTCCATAGACTGTGCTGTCCATGATTGCTGCACTGAAAAAGCAAACCTGAGAGATATCATGCTAAATGTGGTACTTTCTGATCTTCATGGTTTGAATTTGTTATGGTTGGCTTTTTTCAGTTGTATGACCATTGAGGTGTCTACATATATAGGTACCTTTCTGATATGTTTGTCAATCTGCTCTTATGATCAATGTGTATGTATGAAAAGGAGACTTGTCTTGTTGCCATCTGAAGGAAGGTGGAATGCTGTCATCCCCATTCTGGGTGATCAACCCAAGAGGAATAAGTCCCATTTTTAAAAGCATTGGTTTGGTTCTCATAGTGACCACCCTGAATACTTTACTCTGGTGCTTTATCAAGAATCACAAAATGCTTTGGAGAGAAAAGAGAGCTTGGTTCCCCTTATAGTTTGTTTTCTGCTTGAAGCATGATTCTTTTAATCTTCTGAAGCTGCTTCTATGTCATTCCTTCATTAGTAAAACACAAGTAAATGCTGGAAACTCTGAAGCGTTCCTCAAATTTTGCAGCTTAGTGGATGAAACTTAGTGTCACTGACTTCATGTTACTGCACTTAAATCTGAGACCCATCGGAGCAGGGCAGGTGGTGGATGATAACCTTGCAAGCACTGGATAAGATCCTTTGTTGCTACTTAGGGGTGTGTGGGGGAAAGGCTGGACTCTGGTGGTAAGTTGTTAGAGGAACCTCAGGTACATCTGAATTTCACTGAGAATGAAGTGATTTATTTACATTTAGAGTTAAACTCTATTCAGTGTCATTTGACTTCAATAGCAGCAATGTTCAGATAAAGAATCACAGGACTGTCAGTTTTCAAAACTCTTTAAAATGAAAAGAAGCATAGGAAAATTAAGATCACTGTTAATCTTGTCAGTTATGAGTCTGTGATGCTTTTGAAGCCAAAGCGAAGTATTCATTGGTTATAATGCGGCATCTTAGAGAACCTGCTGTGAGCTTTCCAAGATGTACTGATTTTTATTTACCATTGTGAATGAATCCTAGCTGAAACAAAACCAGGAAAGAATGGCATGCTGTAGACCGGCTTCTTTCAGGGACAGGCCCTGGTGTGTAAATTGCAGAGACGGGGTCAAGACTTCGGGACTATTCCCTTGACCTGTTTAATGAATGATGAAGCTCACTAATGAGAAAACAGTTCCGGTAAATTCAAAGTAGGGCAGAAGACTGGAAAAGGTCAAAGGCTTTTTTTTTCCTGGTCAAAGCTGTCCAGTTAACCCAGGAGATGCCAAAGATCTGTAGACCTGCACAAGAAATGGAAGATTCCTGAGTAAAACAGATGAATTTCCAGGTGATGTTAATTTCTTTTCTTTGTTTCCCCCTCTCCCCTCCTTTTCTTCTGGCTCTGAAGATGCAGGAATTGGAACAGAGAGTGATAGAAGCAGAGCAAAGAGCTGAAGATGCAGAGAAACAGGTAAGATATTCTTATGGTTGCTCTAGTAGAAGCCCATCAGTAACTTACTCTAAATTCCCTCCAGTCTAGCATACAGACAGCACTCTGCAGTGCTGTGCTCTACTAGGGAAACATTGATTTACAGCGGTGAATGGATTTTCTGGTCTACTTCCCAGTCTTTGAGCTTGAGCTATGGACAGGCAGGTGCCTAAATAGGTTCAGCCCTAAGTGAAAAACAATACCTTATATCTGCCTCTCAGCTTCACAGCTTTTACCCCTTCATCCATGATAGGCATGCTTGGTTATGGAGAAGGAAGGGAATGTTGTACCTCAGGATTAAAGCACAGAGATAGAACTGCCTGGCAGGTCCTCAGAAAACAAACACTTCAGAGTACTGGTAAAGACTTGTCTACAAGTAGAGAAGGTTCTGTGAAAGAAGTGAGGATGTGTCTGCAAAAGCTATCAGTTGTTTTGGACTTTCTTTTCAGTAACTACTGCTCTGGCTTGGGACCCTGTGGAGAAAAGCAGTAAGAGCTGGATTAATTGCATATTACTGTAACCAAATGAAAATTAGGCATATTGTCTAAGGTAGTCCTTCTATGCTTCTTGAATCATGGAGAAGTGGGGAGCGAGAGACTTCAGCTTGTGAACAGGCTGTAAATAATAATGGACCTTTGGGAAGCAGACTGTAGTACAGTCTGCGCTGTAAGGAGTATTATAAAAACAAAAGAACCAGGAAGGGCCAGATGGTCTGAGCTCCTGCATCACTGCAGACCACTGCTGAAGGGAGGGTTTGAAGTGAACCAGCTCCCTCCAGCTGGACAAGAGCTGCAGGACTGAGCATTGAGTCAGAGATTAAAGCGCAGAACTAAAAGCCATGCAAGATGGCCAAGGAAGGCTGTCAGATTACTTCAGTAGTGAAGGACTGAATAGGCAGTGTTATATGCACTAGGAAACATGTTGCCTAGGAATCAAGAACTTGAAATACCTGGTAAGATATTCTGTCTGCAGAATGTACTGTTCCATACCAGCTTGACATTGACATCAAGATTTTTTCTGGCCAGCTTAAATATAGGAAAGATGCTGTGTCTAGTCACCATGCTGTTGGCCTCACTGCTAGACCAGCAAATGCCAACCAAGAACAAGAATTGTTCTTGAAAGCGATATCAGTAAGTCCATGCCCAGCCAAGACAGGCAAGGGTAATATTGTCACAGTGAGAGCACCAGCAGGAAATGTAGCTATTGCCACAGGCCAAAGAAGGAGGTTTCACACTAGCAGACACCTCAATGACAGGAGTAGAGTGTCCATGATATGGTAAGATGCAATGACAGCAAGGGAGCAGATGGAGACCAAGTCAAAGCCAGGTCAGAGAATGGAGAAGAAAGGGAGAACTTGTCTGGGAAGGTGTAGGAGAAATGAGAGTTGTCTTCAGTCATCTGCCACCAGCAGAAAGGAGGGTTGCCTTCTCTAACCTGCCACTAGCAGTTCTGCAGCCATGGTCATAAAGACTAGCAACCCTCGAAATATGCCTTTCCAGCAGCCTTAACCACATATAGACATAAATGTTCCTAGAGAAATACTTCATTGCTGCCTGACAGCCTGAAGAAGTGACAGCATAGGAGTAGGACCATTCCTGTCCACTAACAAGTATATTCACCGTGAATGAGAAGCAGCTGACAAATGAGAGGGCTCCACATCAAGTGCAAAATCCCTTGTTATCTTTCTCTCCAGGGGTCTAGGGGGTTGGATTTGTTGATTCAATGGGCTCCCTGTAGCTGCCAACCTCAATTAAGGAAATCACATGTTTGCAGTCCCCTCTCTGAGTCTGTAGTACAGAGTCAGCATTTGGGCATTAGGCAGAAAAGAGGGGTGATTTCTTTTTACTATAATCACCCTAAACTCTAATGAAAACACATCTGACTCAGCAGGCTTAATTTTCTGGCTCGGATGTTGGGCGCCTACCTTTCTGATTCAGTATGAGGAAGAGGCAGTTTGCTTCTCTGCCTAATGCAGGCAGACAGGAGGACAAAACACAGCTTCTGCAAGTATGAAGTATAGGCTGCTCAACAGAGCATGAGTAATGCTCTTGCACAGACTCTGTGAAGTGCTCAGATTACTGCCTGCATTCTGCCTTCCTGGTTCCAAATTAATGGTATCTGGAGTTGGTTTCATTGCAGATTTAGTCTCTCAGAGATGTGTTGGAACCAAATATTTTTCCTATTGTCAAATGCTGCAGTTAGCAGGTTTGAGTTAAGTTGCAGGGATTCCATTCATCTTTGGAGATGAAGTCTTATAATCCATTGCAATAGGATGAGGTAATGATAAAACAGACTGGCATATCAAGAGAGATAGGTTTTGAAGGAAGTGAAGAGATTTTAAAAATTTGCTAAAAACTGAAACACTTCAGCAGCTAGATTTTAGTGCATTGAAACTTTGTCTGTAGTGAAGGAGCATTACACTCATTTTTTTTTCTGAGATGAACAAGTGTTGGCACTGGTAGGAGCTCAAAGATATGCAAAACTTCTGAAATATCTAACATGATAACTCCTTAGCAGGTATGGAGAAAACACTTGTCAGAAAACCCAGAAGTTGCCAAAGCGTTGTCTAAGCTGGAGATGGGAGGAGGAAGGAACTGTGTAGTGTATTTCCCTATAGAAATCTTGATCTGAAGCAAACGGCAGGGGTTTTGTGGTGTATACCTTGGTAGTGAATGAGGTAAAAAGCTGACCATGGTATTGCAAAGGAGGAAAATGTGATGTACCTTGCCCATATGTCCATGTAGACTATAGAGCCTGTATGGGCTCTTTGTCTAATAATGTGCAAATATTTCACAATCCACAACGTGTTTATCTGTTCATGGTTCAGTTTGCATCTGTTACTGTTTCATCATTACAGACAAATGGACAATGTTCTTTCACAAGTGTGGATATAAACTAAGTGTGACCTGAAGGGTTGGTTTGTTGTTTTTTTTTCTTCCTTTCCTGACTTCAAAAATATGAAACCCACAAATACTCTGTTAGTCTTACCACTGAACAAGCAGCTCCTTCATTTGCATTGTTTTGAGTTTTTTTATCTGCCTGTGATTGTCATGACAGGTCAGAGTTATGGAAGAGAAGATAAAACTAGCCAATGTGAAGACCAGTGAATCAGATAGCACTCTGCACAGGAAATACCAGGAGCTGATGGGCACAGTGCAAGGAAAGGAAGATCTGATCAACAAGTTGGAGACACAGCTAGCGAAACAGGTAAAGGTATTTTCTACAGGGAGACCTGTAGCTTTCATGAGTTGGAGAGACTCTGTAATGTATGTTTCAAAGGTATGGATTATGTCTCCATTACATGTTAGCCTCTCAGTTGCCCTCAGATCAGCTGGAAAATGATGCCTTGCTCAGTGCAAGATCCTGTCCTTTCTTTCTCTTTTCAGACAAAAACATCCATTCAGCCTAAGTAGGCCTTGTCTCTTCATTATGGGAGATTGGTCAGTGTCCTTAAAGAACTTCCTTATGTTAGTGTTGAGTCAGTGTTAAGACCCTAAATTGTAATGCTAGAATCTAGTCATAGTATTTCTCTGGCTTTCTAGCATACAGTTTGCTCTGCAAAATCATTATGTAGCTCATCTCTGACTCAGCATATGCTACTTCTTGGGAAGTGACTTTTCCCAGTCTTCATCAATCCTTTAGCATAGTTCACGTCTTGTCAGATGTCCTGGTTATAAAAGAGCAGCTGTTTCTTGGTATGGATAGTTCTTGGTCTCTTCTATTCTCAGTTGGTGGAAGGAAGGAGCTACATCTACAGCAGGGCTTGTATTTCAGCTCTAGTAAAGGCCTTGCCCTGTGTCCTTTAACATGAGGAATGAGGTATTCTTATATGTTACTAAGTAAATTACCTTTAGATGGAAATAGCTCATTAGAATTTTACACAAAAAATACTTTGCCATTTGAGTTACATTTTACTTTTAACTAATTGTCACCTATTTCCAGGGCAAAATAGATGGGTAAGCTATCTGAATTTACTCAGACCAAGTGTAGTGTGGAGATTCAGCATCAGATCTTTGTAGTACTCTGGGTTTCAGGTCACTTTCCCAGGCCAGCTTGCTTGGGCAGAATGTAGATGAAGCTTCTGCATTTTGGAGGAGAAAGAAGGTGTTCAGGAGCTACAATAGTGATCAAGGTCTGGAAGCAACTCTTGCAATCAAAGATGGAAGAAATTCTCATTTACCCAAAAATGCAAGGTGTGATTTGATTAAAATCAACAAACACGAGTTGTTAAATATTCTGTTAGTAGAAATCTTTTTATTCTAGCAACAAGATGCAAAATGAGATTCTAGAAATGAAAGCTGAAGCTTAACAATTTCAGATGAGAAGCACTCTTTATCAGGGTCACCAGTTTAGTTTTGGAATGGGATGGGATCAGACAGTGGCAGTGCTGGAAGGTCACTAAGGGTCCTGGTAAGGCATCCTATTTGTTTTCACTGAAATGGGGAGAGCTGTGGAGTTCAGAGGGTTAATATGAGAACACTGAGGTCATGTCTGGACCACACAATAGCATGGGACACAAAGAATCTCTAACTGCTTCTGGATCTTAAAGCACAATAACTGCATCTACGGGTGCTATGCCTGAATAAATTGGTTCTGCTCAGAGGCAGGGCTTACTAAGCTCTGTGACAATGCTGTTGTCATGTCACTATTCTACTTTAGGACCCTGAATAAAACCTTGGCATTGCACTTCACCATGTAGCATAGCAATGCTCTGAACCTTTTACCTCTTGGTCCCTGCTTTGAGACTAGTCTAAGTCATTAGGGTTTCAAAGGCATTACCGATGTGGTGGATATTCAGAGGACTATGGTGGATTCACTATATGTGCCAGATCATTTCAGACTGGTAGGCATGTCTAGTATTCTGACTCCAGCAAAGACTGGTACCTGATGATTAGGAACACACAGAGCCATATTCAAGGGGGAAAATGAAATAAATCCTCCTCTTGAAGCATCAGATTTGATTACTTTTATTTCATTATGCTCAACTACAAATGTTACTGCTATCCATAATGTTTCCAAGGTCTATTTTGAAGTCAGCAGGCATATTTGAATAAGAGCTTTTAAATGTACAGTAGTGGTGATGAATAGCATGTGGTGATTAAAAGCGATGTGAAGATGTGGGGAATTTCCTGAAGTCTACTGTGTATTTATATGGTATTCATTAAGTGAACTTATGCTCTTCAGTATGAAAAACTTAAAAAGGGGGGGAAGCACTGACAATTTTATTATCATAATTACTAGTATTTGTTCACATCAGAAAAAAAAGTCTAGCAGGGAAACCACCAACTGCTGCCAGAAAGTATTAGGTATTACCTTTGTTCATTTAATTAGAGAAACCAGGGCTGAATGTGCCATACAGAGTATATTCCCCCTCCCTCGCTCCTGGAACTGATATCTCCTTGTAGTTGTTTAAATTATTATGTAGATAGGAGACCTTTCAGTGACATTACTTCTGATGAAGCCACACAGGAGATGAACAGAAGGCTTCAGGTGATCATAGTATCAATCTAGCATCTTTCAAAGGAAATCCCAGAAAAGGAAAAAAACACAGCTGAGAACACAGCTGCAAAAATTATGTTGTAGCAATATTACCCAAGCAGATACTTGGGCAAAAATGTTCATTGTGCAAATCAACAGTATTCCCATAACACCTTTGTGTGGACTATAACCTGTTTTAATGGGTATGTAAACATGCAATCACTTACACCATCTCAAAACCTCTTAGCAAGTCTTCATGTTTCAAGGTCAAGTTTTGGAGCTTTTTTTTATTCTGAATCTGCTATCTTTTTTAAAAATTTATTTACTTTCTCAGTGAGAACATTGCATGTGTTAAATACATTGGTGGTATTAGTTTCCATCTCATGCAACATTAAAGTCTATATTCTACATGTATGCTGGCAGCAATTGAATCCCTTTTGCTTGGAATTATTAGTGGTTTATAAATCACTTACAGGCACTGCTTAATTCTTATTAACTTCAACCAACAATATCTGTACATGTAGGCTGGGGGAACACTACAGATGCTCAACAGCAAACAACAACGTTGCAAACCCATCGAAAACAGGAAAAGTTTCAGATTGTACTCAAAAGACACTGTGGTAGGTGGGCAGTCATTACCTGAGCTGGATTTTGCTATTCCGCAATAAACTCTTGAAACAACCCTCTGAATTTGACTCCAGGGATCATGTAAGACAACTTAGAGCTTGACTTTTCAGAGGCCAGATAAATAATAATATCCAAATAGCAGGCTTAAATCTTACATCTGGAATGGGAGCTTCAATGTTTAAGTCACTCCTGATGCAGTAACTTACTGAGAACAGTTAGTTGTACTCTCCTAATGCATTTAATCTTTTTTTGGCACAGAAGCAATTGAGGACTGAGGAAGCCAAAATTGTTCAAGAGAAAGCTGCCAAGATCAAAGAGTGGGTAACATTTAAGCTAAGAGAGGTGAGTCTTTAGCTTGCTGCCAGGTTTCAAGGCCTATGAGTAGGTACAGCGGCTGCACTGCTGGTGGGCTCCTATGTAGGACAATAGTCTGAGGACAGTCAGTCTGCCATAGAGGCTTTCTGCTTGTTTGGCCCTACACACAGTCGGTTGCAGAGGTAGGGTTGTCCCTCTTGCTGAGGGCTATTTACTGCTTTGGGCACACTGTAAATGACTGAAGTCACTAATGCCTGAAAGCAGTCTTTGAGAAGATTTGCTAGTCACAAGTGGCTTTCGCCTAGCTTTCCTCTGCCTCTCCCTTTTTTCTCTGAGTGCAGTTTCTGTCTTTTTCTGACAAAGCAGCTGTGACACAAACACATCTTGCTCTTCCTTAATTTGCCGTCTCTGATTAATGTTGTTTTCCTACTGTCCAGCATTTTCTCATGTCTAACCTCTCCCCCCTATTTATCGTGTGGATTTATGCCTCTATCTGGGCCTAATTCAATACCCTGTAGAAAAACTGAGAGGTAGCAATGGGTCAGCACACAGTTTTAAAGGTGCAGTAGTATTTTACATCCTTGAGTGGGGCTATATGGTCTTTCCCTTTTATTCCAAGTTAAAGCCTTAGATTTCCCAGTTTATGCCAGAAAGGGAATTTGTTGGAATTGGAAGAAGCAGTGCCTTTGTGCAGTAATTGTGTGATGATGTGACTTTGTAATCTCATTAGATTGCCTAGATAATTCACCAAGCTGTTGTGCTTCTTCTCTTTCATTTTCCTGTATAAGATAACTTAAGGTACATCTACATTACTGACTGGTGCAGCTCAAAGGAGGAAGCACAGGGGTTGACATGGTATGACCTGCTGTGAACCCAGGACCATACATTCACATTGTGTCTTTACTGGCAGTGAAGTTCGTGTCAGATGCTGATTCTAGGTGCATACCATGCACAAGTGGACCACTGCCAGCTGAAGGACTTTGCATCTGTGTTGCAAATGGGTTGCTCTAGGCAGCACCATAGGTGCAGTTTCAACTTTGATTCCATCAAGAGGGAAGCATCTTTGGGTGCATCACTGCTGTATTTCAGAATGTATGCTGAGACACTTCAAGCAAAGATGTAGGCAAATTTGCAAAGAATCACTCGTGCACCAATTGCAAATGTGAATATACACTTAATGTTTTTTTTTTCTTTGGTCCCCTGGATCCAGGGGATCTCCTTTTACCACGTATAAGGTGAGAAGGAAAAATGCTCCTCCTGAGTAATAGTATTTTGATTGTCTCTTTCATGACAGTTATTTCTGGAACAGGAGTAAATGACAAATAGCAGGTAAGGAAATTAAAAGACCTATTCGAGAAGTGCAAATAGTATATAGAGAGGTTATTTGAGAAAGCACAGCAAGGTGTTTAAGTGGGTTGTCCAGTGGGGCTGCTGAATAGAAGGATTTCAAGGTGACAGGTAGACTCACCCAGCCTTTTTTCCTTTTTCTGCTAAGACACTTGAATGTAATACAGATGAAGAGATGTTCTGTATAGTGGAACACAAGCACACAGTTTTGCATTATTTTTCAGTTGTTATTATTGTTATTTCATAGCTTGAGCTAGAAAATTACCACCTGAAAAACTGTAATCAGAGGCTGACGGACCAAATTGAAGCCCTTCAGGATACATTGCAAGGTAAATGTGTTCACCTGGCATTGTAGCCTAGTAACCACCACAAGAGTGAAAGTCAGCATTCCTGGGTTATATTCTTAACTTTGTCAGAAATTAGCACTTGTGACGTGAGCAAGCAGTAGAATTGCGCTGTTCCTCAGTGAGTCCATTTATAAGATGGGAATAACATTGCTTACCTGCCTTAAACTCTTATTTAGTTTCAGACCAGCGACTGAACACAGACCCATTTTTTTCCAAGTCTGCTTTTGCCATTAAAATAAGCCACTGACCTCCTGGTTTAGAAGTGCTCATTGAAATACATAGCAAAACTCTCCATTCACTTCAGTGGTGCAGGGTAGAAGTTCCTGAGGTATTTCGCTTTACCTCCATGTGCGAGTTATCCTCATCCCCACAGAATCTCTGCTGGCACGTGAGCTGGGTAACTGAGGACTGAATGGGCCAAGGCAGTAGCTCTCTGTTCTGCCTTTAGAAGTTGAGTTCCTCTGTGCTATTAGGTTATGTTGGAGAAAGCTGCTTACGGTGTTTGTACTTTTGCAGTTTTGGTTTGGTGGATAGGTGGAGAACTTTGGTCTCCATGGCTTGAAATCGGCACCTTTCATTGCAACACATTTTGAAGAGGAAGTTCTCTCTTAACCATTTTCTTCCTGCTTTGTTTTTTTTAATGAGCTTGGTTTCGTCACAGTAAGATGAATTAGTTTCCAGAACTTCACTGGGCATGCAGGCAGGGGGCATTTCTTGCCTGCAGAAGTCTTTCTGGCATTG